CACACACACACACACACACACACACACACACACACACACACACACACACATATTTATGACTTATTGTTTTTCCCTCGATCTGACCTATGATAATTTAAGCGCTCGTTAGATCTGTTTGATACTCCAAACTGCTTAGGCGGAATTCAAACAATTTCGCATAAAATGCATACATTAATAAAAGTTAAATTGTGAATAATAACTGCATCCAAAACTTTATGAGAAGATTTGGCGACCGTGGAAGTGAGTTACTTGCCGCTTATTTGGTTGTATTTAAGTTTTCATAAGTATTTGAATTTAAAACAGATTCCACTACAGTTTTGGCAACCTGTGAGTGACTATCTTGACATCAGATCAAATCGCGAAATCAAATATAGAATAAGAATATTGCTGAAAAAGACTTCAAAGAGAGTCGAAACGTTAAAGAATTCTCAAGTTTTTTTAAATAAAGATGATATCTATACATCAAATAAAGTAACTTATAAAATAAATTTACTTATTTAAAAAAAATAATTTGCGCACCTCCTTCTATGCTGATTTTCAGTAGCCTATATTATTTTTATTTTTGTTATTTTGTATTCACTCTTACTCTGCATTATCTGCACATAGCTTACAGGCATAGGGTAAACAGGAATCAGTAAAAGAATATTTATTAAATATTAATTTCACATTATTTATTTGATTTATTATTAATATTGATTTATATAAAATAATTGTTTAATGTTTATTTAACATTAATTTAATAAAATAAATAATTCAAGTAAAGGCTTTAATGAGCAAATTAAAACGTTAAAGAGAAGTTTTTGAAAGCCAACACAGGTTGTATTGTTAATTACATATACTTTATTATAAAAGATAAATATAAGTTTCGATCCTAATTTGGATCATCTTCAGATAAACTTAATATTCACATAAAATAATAATCATAGACATCGTCACGAATATCGGAGTAACAGTTGTCAAGAGCATCGATGTAAGAGAGTCAATATAGTCAAATATTGACTAGTTCTCACGTCCATATCTCGTTAATGGTTGTTCATCAAATTTTTATAAACTAAATAACATAGTGCAACAATATGATGCTACTAAAAGTTAATTGTAACAAAATGTGCACTTACATGAATGATGAGGTTGATAACAATATCTACGTGTATATCATCATCATATTGTCAGGTTTATTGTATATTACAATAGACTAATTTAATGAAAATAATTATTGATAATGTTATAAATTACAAAAATAAGGATAAATTAAAACTTACATGATCTTACATCTCTGTAGTAATCTCTGTAAAACTTACATATCTGGTAATAGACGATGAAACTGATAATTAACGGTGAGAACATTATAGACATAATGAACGTCAAAATAATTGCGGAATATATAAGTAAAATTGATAAGCAATACAAAGAGAGAAAAATGTCATAAATTCGCGAATATATTCAAATATATTATTATAGAATAAAAATATTTAGAGATGAAGTGTCAGTTTGCAAATTCAGTTCATGTTTCTGTTTTTTTATATGTACTCGTATTATCTCTGATATCAGTCTTTTTGATAAAATTTTGTCTTCGTCATAAATTTTTATGTAATCCTAATCAAAATCATGCCAATTCTAACCTGTTCCGTAATTACAGCATGTTGAGTCATGTTCCAATTTATGTAATTTCTATGTTCTTTAATATTATTATTATTTAATATTGCTATTAGATGACGACTAGTTTGACGAATATATAAGACGTCATAATCTTTACAGTTGTTACATCCCGATAAAATTCTCTCTTTCCTTATTATACAATAAATATACGATTTATACCTTACTTTTATCTTATCTCTAGTTTAAGATTTCGTCTTGGTTTTGATATTTTGTCCTTATTTTATCTTTATTTCGAAATTTTATCATACCTTTTATATGTTGTAAAATTCTTTTCCCTTTTATAGCAGGGCATATTTAGTTCCTTTATTTAAACATTCAAACCAACAGATAGCTAACGCGTCACATAGATAAAGAATATCTATTCTACAATCTTTCCTTTTCTTTTGAAGGTTCCTTTTTCTAAAATAATAACTGAACAATAGCATATATGCCTAATAATTAAGTAGTATTATATATTAAGTAGTATTATATATTAAATAATAGTATATATTAAGATCTTCCCGAATGCGAGGATGAATATCTTTATTTTTCTTTTTTCTTTCTTTTCTTTTTTTCTTTTTCTCAATAAAATTAAAACTAATTTAAAATTTAGAATATATCATTACTTCGCCTCGCATAAGGATGTTAGTTAAGTAAAACCAAATTTTTATTATAAATTATTAAAAATCTCAACTATTATCTTAAGATTAAATTTGTTGGGACTAGGGCTTACGCGGAGCCTTGCTGCCTTAAGGAAATAAACGCGAGTATAGGTTCTACCAAACCTTGAGGAACATTGATTGGTCCTGAAGGAACACTCCCACATTTATTTCCAAAATATAAAAGGAACTGCCGAAAGCAGGAACGAGCAGAGAGAGAGTGTGTAAAAGAGTAAAAGTAGAACTTATCCAGCATAATTAGAAATCGAGGTAAGAACCATCCTCGCGCTTCGTCAGAAACCTACTCGTTTGTTTTTTTCTTTTCTTTTCCTTGTTTTATTTTACTTATTAAACGAAAATACTGAACTAAATCAGCTGAAACCTAAATCTCTGCTCTGCGTCTCATTCAGCTACATATACATGTGAGTATCCGAGAGGCTGTTGTGACTCGCTGCCAATAGCGTGGCCATCTTACGACACTCCTTCGAAACTTTGATAATTTCTTTGTGCTACCTCCATGTCAACTAAAGGCGGACGAAGGCAGCGAGAGAAGAGATTGAGATTTCAAATAAAATCAGTTCTTATTTCAAACCACGATCCTTTCCCCTATTTTCAAAAATTAGCACAGTTACTAGACCAAAAAACCCGAAAGACTCACCCCGAAAGTACATATATATTGAAGTGAATATTCCCTCAAACGGTTGGAAATCAATCTCGCGTTTCCTAACTACAAGGACATTCGAAAAGCCGATCCACACAGATTCGCCTATAAGCTTCGTAATCTTTTTGGCAAAATTATCCTTCCGAGTAATTATCCAATACTTCCTAGTGGACATCCTTAACCGCACAACTTGATCTCTGACCCCCGAGTAAATTGCTTAAATTGATCTTAAAATCGGAGAAAATCTCAACAGCGACACGACGTAACACAATCAATTCCATATATTATTCGGATCGAGATAATGTAAGAAGAGTATTCTCAACTTCTATGAATTTGCTAAGTTTGTCAATCCCCTTATATGCCACACTTATTGAATTATAACGAATTTGTTTTAAAAATGTTTTTGATTTTTTTTTAGAAATATGCAGAATGAATGGTATGATGAAAAAACGTTTTTGTTTTTATTTTTATTTTCGTCTGAATTAGTCGAATTTCTTATATATTTTACTTGATCAAATTTTTTGTACAATCTCTTTTTAATAGTAGAAATTATTAACTTTAACAGAAGTATTCATTACTTAATAGTATTCTAATAATCTTATCGAAATTGTTTTGATAAAAAAAAATTAGGATGAAAAAGGAAAAGAATTCCTAGACAAAGAGGCCATTGTGATTTTATTACCCATAGCGAGAAGTATGGGAAGTGAGTAACTTTTTACTTTATATAAAACATATAAAAACAATACATACAATATATTTAAACCCAGTCGCGGTCGCTTGAAGGAGAGGTGGGCTTTTCAAAATGTTGTAGATTTTGAATTTTTTATTGAAAGTGTCAAGATTGAATGTTGTTGCAATCAATAGTTATTACTCTTATTCCAAGATAGGCGGATTTCCATACCTCTCAGAAGAGTGCAAAGAATCGCCATACTGGGCCAAAGTGGTAAATTTTTTCTGAAAAAAAAAAATCGATAGCAATAAGGTTGAATTTTTTTCTACTACTTGATCATTTGTCGAGAAATATGATTCTCATACCTTTTGAAT